ATTTTTCATTTTTTCTCTTTACTACCACCGTATTATCTAGTCAGCTTTTCAGTGTTTTTTCGAATCATTTTTACACTGTTTTGTCCAAGTGCATTTTGTGTACACACTATATATACGCAATGACTACCGCGCGAACGCTGTTTAAAAAAAATACTTAATGCAATGCTGTTTAAAGGAAGAAGATACACGATATGAATGAATAAATGAATATTTAGAGAACGATTTGAAACTGAGATATCTATAAACTTTTATGAAATATGAATTAAAACGTTTGGTTTTAATAATTTTAATAATTTATTTTACAGTTCCTGCCCACTCCGACCACCCCATTAGTCAAACATCGAGTGACGATAGATTTTCCCCGGACATCAGTGGTGGCGATTTTATTCAAGGGTAAATATTAAATTTACAGTATAAGTATAATGTATTTTTCACATAAATATCCGAAGCAGTATCAATCTTGCAGATCAGTAAATGATAAACAATTCGATCTTTTTACTGTTTTTAAATTTATATTCATAAACTAACGATATCGATGTTTTATGCATAAAAAGGGGAAGCTATTTCAGAAAAGCACATAATGCATTTAAAAAGAAAGCGGCGATTGTTTATTTCACTATCTAGAAAGCTGCGGCTAATGTCAGTTTACAAATGGACGCCGGGTGTGGTGTCAAATGACACAAAATTTTTCTGTTAAAATTTTTAAAGATAATTTATAAATATGAAGCTACTCTTGTACCTAGTATTGTTACAAAATACTTGTATTTTTGTACGTGCCACAAATAGTGTCAAAAATGTTATAAATGTTACAGAAACAAGGTGATCATTGTTTGTTGTCTTGAGTGAGGTTATAAAAACTACCGCGAATTTTGTAAAATAATGAAAGATAAAAGAATGTAACTGATATGTATCAAATAAAGAATCGAGAATATAAATTTGTGTGATCTTATTTTCATTTTAAGACATTTTATTTCACGAATCAGGACATTCTATCCGCTGATAATTGTATTTGTTTAAGGTTATGTTTTGAAGAAAACAATCGTTTATTTTCTTAAAAATCATGACATAAAACGTTCACGCAATGAAATGACAAATTGATATTTTTATTTCGTGTGAAAAATGAATTTGTACATGCCTGAATTGTGGTAGAAATATGTCATTCTCTGAAATAATGAAGCAAAACTTTTTGTACTCCTAACCTATCATTTTTATTCTGTAAATGTTTATGTTACTGAGTGGATATATTCAAAACTGCATTGTACTGTCAACAGCATTGGACCTGGAGATGGATTAGATCTCTCAGGAACTGGAATGTCAACGCCACACATCTCTCATCTGGCATCAACGAATCCATTTAGTATATTATCGCCAAGTCCACAACCAACTAGTTCACAATCTAGCACTATCGACGTTCATACAATCAGCGGCCTTAGAAACGTCAATATACAGTTACCTTCTGGGAGAAAAGACAATCATGATGGAAAATGTGAGGTACATAAACAATCATAAAGTCTTCGACGAGTCATGAAATTATGAATTACATGTTAATGCTTGATTCGTTCTTCTAGGTGTATGTAGGAAAAACATGTGCACAATTTTTAGGAAATCAATCCGTTTATATTCCATATCCAATGACCCAAGAGCTACTCGACGATAAACTGATGAAAGCTTTTGGTGTTATCAAATACTCAAAGTAAGTGAATTGCAAAAGTGTAAATGACGTTGATGTAAAATGAATTTTTGTTTACGTTTCAGCGAGGTCTCGTCGAATTGCGAGGGATATGCAAAGCCATCGCTATGTTACTCCGCATTCCCAATATGTCGTGATCCTGCCAGTATTCTTAAACTTAAGAATTCCGAAGCTAGCGCAAGTTTATTTCACTTCCTGAATTCAAACCAGGGTGATTTGTCAAGAGATACGAGTGATGGGGATGATACCGATGACATTACAGGAGCTCACGGTATTCCCAGAAAACGTAGTCCAACGTTAGGCCCTGGCTCAGAATTCAATCCGTACAAAGATGGGAAAGCTTCCAATAAAAAGATAATAAACCAAAGCTATGGAGAAATACAGTCGTCTAATAGACTCGAAATCAATCGTAAATTAAGGAGGATTTGCCGACAAGAATGTGAAATGCTAGAAAACGATTTATGTAAGAAAGAGTATGCAATTGCTAAAAGACATCCACTGATTGGACATCAAGTGCCTTTAGTTGATTGTTCTGATTTACCGATGGAAGATACCCCCGAGGCTCGTGATTGTTTAAGTCTTGGAATTTCCTCGGGAAACAACGTACAGGAAAGTACGTATTAAATTTCCTCGATTGTTTCTTAAATGATAAAAATATATTATTGCATGTTGGTTTCGGTTTTTACAGATGATTATTGTTACTGGGGAAGCGGAAAGTCTTATCGTGGTATCGTGAAGACAAGTATTAGCGGAAGACCGTGTATGCAGTGGTCACATGGTGAATTCAATCTTCAAATCTCCGATTATCCGGAATTAGCTGGAAAGCATTCGTATTGCCGTAACCCAGGCGACAAAGAACTACAACCGTGGTGTTACGTTTATGTCGATAGTAAACCGCAAAAAGAATTTTGTAATATACCTAAATGTGGTAAGTTGCGCTTGATAACTAAGCTACCAAAAATACGATTAGAAAAAAAAAAAGTAACGATTACATCGCGATTTGTTTCTTCGCAGTTGAAAACTTATGGATCTATGCAGTCGTTGGTTTTGTACTAACAGGGGGATTTGTTGTCATATTGGTCTGTTATTGCTGCTGCTACAGAAGCAGGAAGTCTAGAAGGCAAATGAATCATTTGCCATCGAATAAAGTGAGTTCATTTAATTTGGAAATAAACATGGGTCTTTCCTAACAGTATACTGAAATTAATAGTTTGCTTTTTTATTTAATAGATGTTAACCGGTATACAATGTGACAAAAATATATATGATGGAAGACGAAGCACGACACAACCTATGGAAATGAGCTCTCTTTTAGCTGGTCCTGGTAACACGACTCCGGGAACAGGAACATTAAGTAGCGGCAGTAGTCGGACGTCCAATAATAGAGTGCCACAGTTTACTACCAATAACGTTGTACTTTTACAAGAACTTGGAGAAGGGGCTTTCGGTGCGTATAAAACAGAATGATTGTAAATATTTTACATAGTAAACTATAATTTTTTTTGAACTTTTTATTTTTAGGGAAGGTATACAAGGGAGAACTACAAACAGGCAATAAATGCGAGCCACCAATTTATGTGGCAGTGAAAACATTGAAAGAGAATGCAAGTCCAAAAACACAGAGCGATTTTAAACGGGAAGTTGATCTGATGACAGACCTAAGGCATCCAAATATTATTTGCCTACTGGGCGTAATATTGAAAGGAGAACCAATGTGTATGTTATTTGAGTACATGACTCAAGGAGATTTACACGAGTTCCTCATTTGTCATTCACCGAGATCAGACGTTCCATTGAACAATGGAAACGGGAAGATTTTAGAGCAACCAGAGTTTTTACACATCGCTTTACAAATCGCATCTGGTTAGATCAATTTTGAATTTGTAGTTTTATCTGTACTGTTGTATCTGCACGATTTCACTAAATCCAACTATGATATTAGGTATGGAATATTTAGCCAGTCATCACTACGTTCACCGAGATCTAGCCGCAAGGAACTGCCTAGTTGGAGACAATTTAACAGTAAAGATCTCCGACTTCGGCTTGTCCCGCGACATATATAGTAGCGATTACTATAGAGTTCAATCCAAGAGTTTATTACCTGTTCGATGGATGCCACCAGAGTCAATCCTCTACGGTAAATTTACGACAGAGTCCGATGTATGGAGTTTCGGAGTCGTATTATGGGAAATTTACAGTTATGGCTTACAGGTAATGAGACTATAAGAGGGAGACTAAAAAAATTATGCGACCGTCATATACTATGTGAAATATATTGAATGTTTTGCGCTTTTAATTTACAGCCGTATTACGGGTACAATAATCAAGAAGTGATAGATATGATTCGATCACGACAATTGTTACCTTGCCCGGAGGACTGTCCGACGATGATCTACAGCCTAATGATAGAGTGCTGGCACGAGGTGGCCAACCGCAGACCACAGTTCCCGGAGATTCACCATCGCCTTCACAACTGGTACATAAACCAAACATACCTGAGCGATTTCTGTAACGAATCTATCACCAGTTATTCCGGAAGCAGTCACAAAAGCACGAATAAAACCAATTCCACGCAGCTATCGGCGCCGATATACAAATGCGATCCGAAGGACATGAACTTCAAAGGGAACACGGAGCAACCGCCGTTCTGCAACCTAAACGACCATAGCAACGGGATCAAAATGCTACCGCCGAGCTTTCAAAACACGAATTCCGTCGAGCAGAGGCCAAACTGCGGCTTCAACGAACACGGCACGCCCATAAAGGCCAGCATTTATCCGAGTCAAACGACAAACATCAATTTGAACGACTTTGATGACAAACAGTGCTGCTCGCCAAAACTGAGCGGAGCGAAGAAAGTATTGCCTCCGGCACCACAGCCGATGAACAAAATAAACACGCCTAATGGAACCAGACCAATGCAAAATGGAGCGCAATTAGTTGTCAGGTTACCAGACCCCAGTAAGGTCACGACCGAGACCAGGGTATCGAAGTGAACACGAACGAAGATTGTTCGCTTGGACAATTTTTCTATGCATTCGTGTTAATCGTATGTACACAAGGTATATAATATTTATACCGTTCGTTTCGTAAATGCGAGCCGATCTTCCAAAGGTCGGGTAATGTTCGTTGAACAGGATACGTAGACAGATCTCTCTCAAATACCTAATCACTGCCACGTTTCCGTATTTATTTATTTCTTCGATCGGAATATACATATTTTGTACTATCGATAAAGGAACTATCGTAAAAGGAAAAACAAAATAAAAAAAAAATAATAATAATACGGTGTACAACCTTAACGAGTGTTTTATACATACATACAATATAACGGAATATACATACGTATAAATATGAATATATGCAATTTAAGATATAGGCTGTACCGTGCGTTTAATGTTTATATAATGTTTATATAATTGTCGCGTTTCCTTTGTATTGTTTCGCAAATATCTATCGAGTTTTATGATACTTCGAGAGTATTAAAAACCGGATTCACACGTACTCAAGCACATTTATCAATAGCGATTTATACATACATGTATAAGAATCTAATATTTCGTTATATTATAATCACGATGTTAGGGGTCATATTTCACGCGACAAAATTTTGTAAGTTAAGTAACTTCTAGTTTTATTTATATTTTTACATACGCGCGAAACCGTGAACTTCTCGACTGATTGTATAATATAAATGTAACATCGTGTGTCTGCCAGATGGTGCTCGCCATCTAATACCGATATCGAAAACCGATCTCCAGAAATGGCACAATAATCAATTATTGGCTGTACGTTGTAGCAGTAAGTCGATTATAGCGTGAAGCACGATCTCGTTGAGCGTGTTTCATAGGAAGTTCTTATAAAGAAGCAACTTTGTCTGTGAAAATTCGTCAACTATCGGTGGTGATTCGTTTCGAAACGAGAAGCAATTCTAATCATATCCAAACGTGAACGGCATTTACTTACGTTGCTCAATTGCGTAACGTGCATCGTTGTTATATCGAGCAAAATGGTCTTTTATACTCTTTCATACCGTTTTATAAAATTTTGTAACAAACTTTGAAAATCATTCGCTCGTTTCACGTGAAGAAAAAAAAAGAAAAAACTGTGTGAGATCACGTCAACTCTTAACTATTGCCAGAATTTAACACTTTTTTCACAAAAAAAAAAAAAAAAAAAAAAAAAAAAAAAAAAAAAAAAAAAA